GTATCTAAAAGAGATTATTGTCTTGTTAACTTGTCTCACTTGAAAGAAGTGAAAGAAGTATATATAGTATATATAGAAGTATATTTAAGTATAAGTCGAATCAGTTCTTCGTCATATTCAATTGTAGTAATCTAAAGTCTAGTAACTTATTTATAAAATATTTGTAGTATGGGAACCATAAAATATTTACATTTCCATGTTATTGTATTCTGTCATCGTTGTCAGATGATATTCCAAAGTAAGCACGATGATATATATCGTCTCGCGGTAAAATACTTTCGATAATATTTCAGCTTTCAATTTTAATTGAAGCCCCGCTCTGCGCGCCAACGATATTTCAGCGATTTCAATGGTGGAAAGTCGGAGTTTCTCAATGGGACGCGGATGCTCATTATATTTTAATGTATCGTTGTTTCGTGAGAAACAAGATTACGGTGTTTTGCGTTTATATCTGGCCGCGTCGGTGGAACGAGAGAGATAGAATTGTATTCAAAGGATTTCCTTTCTCATGGAAATTTGTATTAACTTCGTGTCGCTTCAAACGTTCAAAAATGATCCTATCATCGTGGCAAAGAGCGTTTTCACAGACGCGGGCGAACGACTTCTTAACAGACACAGTAATGTTGTTTTTCTTGCTTTCGTTCTGGGATTAGTCTAGACCCGAGGCTTTAGACCCACGTTTCGTTCGAAATAAAATGAAAGATAACAACTTGGAATGACGAACTGCCCCGACTAATTTGTTATTCTTATTTTAGGAATGATCGTGGCGGGAAATATCGTGCGACCGGAGCAAATCGTTTCTGAATATTAAGTGCAGAAATTCGACGAAGAAATTGTTTTCTGGGTCATTTCTTATTATAGAACAACCTATTCTTGCGTTCGAGGGAAGTTCGTTTAACAATCAATCGTTCAAGTTTCTTTGAATTTCCAATTCTCGAATTTTTTTTTATGTCAAGATGTTGGACATAATCGTTCCAATTTCCATGGAAAAATTTTTAATTGAGACTCGTCGAGAAAGAGCGCGACGATTCGTACTTTCAAATTTCACGCGACAACACCAAATTAATTTGTATATCGTTTGTTCGAATAAAACGACAAATGATCTTATATATAAGATTATTTGAAATTTACGTCCAAAACGTGCAAAAATTAGAGAGCCAAATCGTGAAATAACCTAGAGAAAAGAATCATCTTCACATTTAACAATAATAATAAACGAACGCGCGGCACAGTTGTTTTAAACAGTCGAATCATTTTTGAAATATGTCATTTCAAATGATGAACACTTTAGGAAGTTATTTGATATAAAAGTTAGTACAAATACAAATAAAAATAACAAGTCATTTCGTTTGATAGGCGAATAATGAAATAATTCGGAGAAAAATAAAAAAGTTTAACTAAACGAGGTTATATATTATTCAGTTTGTCATGTTTGAGGTATTTGAAGTTATTCGATGATTTCAAGCCTCGTTTGAAATTGAAATTCTAGGAAAAGGGAGGGAAAGCGCGAAATAGCGATGATCTTATATCCGTAAATCAATCGTCTTTGATCGTATCGTATCGTAAACTTGCATGCACGTTCTTGGGGAAATTTAAACTCATTACAAGCTGTCGGACGTAACAGCAAGTTAGTGGAAAATTATCCGAGGCGGACAAACTTGCAACTTGTGATACTTTCGCGAAAGTGAAGTAACATGATTATAAAATATTAGACGCTGTTGCTGTTGTGGAATCGTTAACTCGTGCCTCTGTTCGGTTAAAGCGAATTAAATTTGCTAAATAACCGAATTATTAAAGTAGTTTGCCAAGTATGATGGATGAGCATTTGATTCCATAAATAAAGAGAATAAAACGGGAAGGCACTCGAAGTAATACGAATGAAACTTGAGAAACAATAGAAACAACAAAAACTTGATTCATCATTTGTATTTTACTCTTTTTTTTTTTATCTTTTACTTTTTCAGTACTCTTGACAGAGTAATTTCACCATCATAAAATAATAAAATAATATTCCAAGTTCCCTCAGAAATGTTTCGAATATGTCGTCACTATATAAATTCTATAAATGAACATGTTCATTAAATACATATCCATGTTGTTTTTTATATTACTATATTTTCATTGTCATCAAAAATTACACAAATCTGATCAGAAGGAGCTAAAATATTCAAAGTACGAGTCATTCAACGCAGATGTGTTAACTTATATATACACGCGAAAAATTCAACGCGATGATAATGTGGCTCGCAGAATAAATAGAATGCGAAGAGTCAATATTCAAAAATAGTTAAAAATAATATTTGAAAAAGTGATTTTCACCGATACAAAAAAAAAAAAAGTAACAAAAGAGAGAGAGTGAGATAATAAGAGAATATGTTGAATGAGGATATTTCATTTAGCGCACAATTGCTTGGAACGAATGAATTCAATTATGGGTTAATTATTCGGCTAATTGTATCGATATCGCGTGACAATAACCACGGTTGCTTGTACGTTGCGCATACATTATATCCGTACGATATAAATTTTCGCAGGACTGGGTTTTTTCAATTCGATATAAATTTTCGCAGGACTGTGTTTTTTTTAATTCGGATTGAACGACTTTATTTTTCCGCTGCGTTTCGAGCATCGTGTGCCGTTTTTAGATAAAGTGGTGCTTTTGTCTCGCTGATATACAGCTCGGAATTTCGCCGGTGTGAATTTCAAAATAACTTTTATTTTTGCTTCCAGCGCTTTTCCCGAATTTTTGCGCGGACGTCTTTTGGTTAGAATTACAAACAACGAATAATAAATAAGTCGCGTTATGTAAAACAAAGAGAAGAAAAAAAAAATATATATATATATATATATATCGTGTTTGATACATAATGTGTAATTTTTTGTCTACTTTCTTTTCTATTGCCAATAACTTTTAAATTAGTCTGTAATTAACAGTTTTAACATTAAATATAATATTTCTCTCCTTTCGCCTATACAGAAAGGAAACTTTTATATTTTAGATATTGTAGTTTTCGTATTTACATATAAATATTACCATCACCATTCTATGTACCATTCAGTTACGATTTATAATTACAATTTACAATTAATAGCGGGCGTGTCTTTCCAGAAACAAATTTCCATAATTAATTCTACTAATTCAATGTCTTTCGAATAATCTTTTCGAAAGATCTTATGTTACATTTTCAGTACTATTTGTTCGTAATAGTACAAATCCGGAGAATCAGACGATCTACTCGATCATTCAGGACAACTAGCAAACAGCGTTGTCGCGATTAAATAAACTAATTGCTACGAAGCACCGGCAAACGAAGTTTCCAAGTTGCGTTACCTGTGACATATTAAAGGCGATACATTAGGGGCAGCTTAATACCCAGTCTAACTTAATATCAAACTTAATTAATTTACCTTGGAGCTTAATTCCCCGCATAAACACGCTTGATTTCAAAATTCGAAATGTCAAAGGTGAAAAGTTTTGACGGTGTTTCTTTCATTTTGTGAAAATTCTTCGGCATCCGCTTTAAAGTGAAAGATTCTTTTACAACGTAGGCAATACAGGTACTTTAAAAATGTTTGAAAATTAAAACACCGAATATCGAATTCCTGCCATATTACAGTGACACGTAATTCATACTCTTCATTCGACCAAGTCAATTTATTTTTTACTGACGAGTCTATCGACACTGATTTTTGTGTTAATATTCTCTTCTTCTCAGAACTTTACGTAGGAACTTTAGCTAAATTTTTTCAGAAGGAAACTACTTTCTAGAATTTTTAAAGTTTTTTTTTTTAGTAGCCTTGCTATGTATATATCAGCAGGTAATAGTAGAATGTGAATAATGATCGTGTCAAATTTACAAAAAAATTCATATGTCTGGCTGGTATGTTGTGCATCATTCTTCTTTTTTGATTTAACACTTTCGATACGTCTTTCTCAACGTTTAATATTCTCAGCGATTTTTAAATATTCAACTGAAGCATTCAAATTTCAAGAAACCTTTTCTGGATAATTATTTGCTGAGAGGAATGTCTAAGCTTTAGGCATGTTGTTTAGGTATTTATAATTTTAGTCATTTACATGTATAACTATCTAGGCATATTGTTTAGGTATTTATAATTTTAGTCATTTACATGTATAACTATCTAGGAATATTGTTTAGGTATTTATAATTTTAGTCACTTACATGTATAACTATCAATCTTAAATTCAGAGATGCACGCAAAAATACTTTTTACTTTTTCTACAGTTCAAATTTATACAGTATTTCGTTAATGAATGAAAAGAACAATTATATAATACGTCATTACAAGTATGATACGTGGCGTTTGAATTCATAAATATAATAAAAATTTCCTTTATTTTATCTTCAAATCCTCAAATAATGATACAATTATTAATATTCAAATTATATCCTAATTTTCTGCATCACATTGTTGAATTATCGAAACGACAATTCTTTTTCTGTACTTTGCACAATTCAGTCACGTCTACATGACTGCAACCACACGTATAAATAAATTGAGATATTACACTTGAAAGGTACGTAGTCACTCAAAACTACATATGCAGATTCGCTCGCATCTGGAAATCCAAAGTTCTCCCTCCTCTCGAATGTAAGACCCTGCCGATGTTTTTCGATAATTCAGACGAAAATCCGCTAGAACGCTCTCGATCAAAAATCCCCGAACAGCATGCAAATTTAATAAACGCCACTCGTAGCGAAACATCACTCCCGCTCGCTCGTGAGAAACGATGAACGGCGAGTCAGGGGATTAAAAGCGCGGCTGAAAGTTCATTCGCTCGGGCTCTCAGACCTTTCCCTCCCCCTCTGATTCTGTTTCGTCAACGCTGCGACATAATTACCAACGCTTACCCTCGTCGTTCGCTCGTTCGAGAACGAGAACGCGAAAAACGCGAGAAGATCAGGCGAGGAAGATTTACGAGGCAACGGCTCAACGCGTTAACGGTCTCTCTGTATTTTTTTTCCTCTCTGTTGCAGGAACGCCATCTACAACATAAGTCTGCACGACCTGACGGAGATCGTCGACCAGGTGAGCGCAGCAACGTCTTTCTTTTCTTTCCATTTTTTTTTTTTTTTTTTTCTATTTTTTCTTCTGAACTCGTTTTCGAGATCGACAAAATTCGAGCCCGATCTGGGTTATCGGTATTCGCGGCGACCGCGACCGGATGTCGAGGGACACTTGAATAGCTTGAAACGTTCAGCGCGGTTCGATCGGTGGAGATCACTGGCGCCAGGCAATTTTATCCACGACTTTATCGGAGATACGTAGATACGAATGTTTTTTAATATCGCTGGAAGAAGTACGATCGTTATTCGCGTGGGATAGCTTCTTCTTTTTTTTTTTTTTTTAATCTACGCGTAACGCGAGTCACCTGATTCTTCGCCAGGTTCAATTATTCGCGAATTCGTTTATATTACGCGGGAATAAAAATGTTTCGAGTAAGAAACATTCGCGCGATATGATTGATTCTTTGGTAATTTCTCATTTCGCTCTCTAGTTTCTTTTTCTTTTTTTTTTTTTCTTTTTGTTCCATCGACGATCAAAGCGTGAAGGAGAGAATAATTTGTAAATAATTCGCTTGTCGAGCAACGTGCTGGAATTCATTACGCGCTCGTTCTTACGAAGTGACAATTTGTCCGTTTTTATTTCTCGTTTCGAATAAAGAAACGGCGAGAAATTACTCAAGAATTTCCTCGAATTGCTTTACGACCGAGATACTTCTGTTTTTTCGAAGAATTTTATTTCGATTTCTAAGAATTTCTAAGAGTTTCACTGGCTGATCGCGACGCGTTCAGTGGGCTGCCGTAATTTCTCCCCTTTTCGTCGACTCGACGCGGACAGAGGAAGAAACGAGGGAGGGAAACGTGGAAAAAACTTGGAGACAGGCAAAAAAAGGAGTGGACTGCTCGCTCGGCCAACAAATTTAAAATCAGCCGAACGAGAGCGCGAATAAATTTGCATGATAATGGGTGTTTTTCAAGTTTCCTCGCGTGATCCGAGCATCTCGAATCCCTTCGCAAACAGCGAACGGGAAAATCGTCGATCGACTTCCGTTCCAGCAATATGACACTGCAACCGTCCGCCAATCACCGGAAATACCGCGTGTTCAATAAAACGCGTGGACGCCGTTCCACCGGAAGAAAGAAATATTTTCCTTCGTAAAACATTTTGCACAGATCGAAAGTACACTTTTAAAAATTCTATTTTACACGCTCGATTAGTATAACATAATATAATGCGATATAACGTTATATAATATTATAATGTAATATGATAATAAGAACGACGCGTATCCGCCGGTGGGGAAATGGTCTGTCGTCGCAGTGTCTCTCCCGTGGCCGCGCGAAATCGACGCGCGACGGATGCTGCAGTCTGTAGACCGGATGTCGATCCTGCGTTGTGAAACTGTCGAGGGAATCGGCGAGATATCTGCCGTGGACGCAGAGAAATCGAGAAAGGCACAGGCGGACGAGGGAAAAGTGGGAAGAAGTTGGAGCTAGTACTAGCTAACGATGAAAGATTGTCGATAATTTAATCTCTTGCGTTCGGATGACGCACGTCGTGAATTTTTTGTCCCAAGATTGCAACGTCAAGTATAACCCAGGCGAAACAAATAACAAATGTGTTATCACTTCTGAATAATCTCTATCCAGGTGATATCGGATCGACGAGTTCGAAAAGAAAGCGGCGAATTATTGTATAACGGTTAATTGGTCACTCGTTACGGTCCGCAATCAGTTGCCAGCGCAAGTGGTTAAATCGTTATAACTTCGTGACGTCACTTTGCAATCGATTTTGAAGCGCGAAGCCTCTGCTCTGACGTCGAGTTTGTTTTCTTTCTCCCTGTCTCCCCCCCCCCCTTTTTTTTCCCTCTTCCTTCTCGAGAATTGTGAAAATTCAAACACGTCTGTGAAAACATTAGAAAATGGCTTTCTCGATCAGTTTGAAGATTAATGCCTCAGGATTTAACTGTAGGATTTTCATTGAAACTTACGTTAGTAAGCCTCCGCTCTGGCATCACTGAGTTCGTTCTTCTTCTTTTTTTTTTTTTTTTTTTTTTCTCTCAAAGATGGTTTTACATTGTGCAAGGGGCACTTCCTTCTCGAGAAAATTCAAACGTCTGTGAAAACATTAGAAAACGCCTTTCTTGATCAGGTCCATTTAACTGTACGACATTTACTGAACTTTGAACATTACTCACGTTATTAGTGTTGCAACGACAATAATCTAAGAAACATCAAAATTTCTCTAAACATAATGTTCAAAGTTGAAGAACAATCATACAAGTTTCAAGGGATGTCAAACTGTGCTGTGATGAATTCGGTCCTGAAAGAAAGTTTTTCAATGTTCCGTTTAATGCAATACCTAACGACAACTGAAATTTACCATCTACAGGTAAATGTTGAAACGATACTCTGTCGTCAACCTCAGGTCAAATACTCATAGATCCAAGCAATAATACGGACCCTGAAAAAGAGATCAATGGCGAAACATGTTCGTCGTAAGATTCGCTCGTTCGGAATGGAACAATAAAAGTCTCCGTCCATGGATTCTCGGGATACGATTCGTTTGCCTTTACAGCTCGTTCGGCGTATATATCGTGCTCTCGAAACGATGGCACGTTCGATAGCTCCGCTCTCTTCCGCCAGATTTCAACGTCGCGAGCAAAACACCAGTTTTGGCCAAGTGTCGGCCCTCGTATTTTCCAAATCCAAACAAACGTGTGTGTATCCTTCGGTTCCGACTAATAAGCGAAACGCAAATGGATCGGCTCGCAGTGAATCGTCTTTCCCATTGCTACCGATCGATTCGATGCACTTAGCTCGCGGCTACGAGCGCACGCGTCATCGTAGTGTGTGTAGACGTGGAACGGTGACGGGTATTAATCGACGTTTCTATCTGCGGGCTGCAGAGTCCTCGTGGACGTAGCAAACAAATTGCAAGCAATTATTTCCACCGATACCGGTGATGCACGTGTAGCGCGTAAGCGGAATGGAATTCTCCTTTTTTTTTTCTTTTTTTTTTATTTGTCATCGACGTGACACACGATGAAAATCGCGGTTGAATGGAAAATTTGTAATCTTCGTCGGTCGGTTTTCTTAAATCTAACGAGTTGAGTTTAATGATCGACCAATGACCGTGTAGCAACTATTCAATTTTTGCAAATTTATTATAATATTTGCACGATCAAACAAGCCTGACAAGGAATTTTTTTTTCGCTGGAAGAAAATATTTGATAGATAATCGATTTTCAGTCGTTCAAACAATTTCTTTTTATATTTATCAATTTATATTCATTAATTTCTATATTGATTCGTTTAATTTATTTTTATATTTATTAATTTCTATAGTAATTCGTTTAATTTATTTTTATATTTATCAATTTATATTCAATTAATTTCTATATCAATTCGTTTAATTTATTTTTATATTTATTAATTTATATTCAATTAATTTCTATATAAATTCGTTTAATTAATTTTTATATTTATTAATTTATATTAATTTCTATATCAATTTAATTTATTTTTATATTTATTAATTTACATTAATTTCTATATCAATTCGTTTAATTTATTTTTCATTAATCTTATTAATTTGTATTAGTTTTATTAATTTTATTAATTTCTATGTCAATTCGTTTAATTAATTTTTATATTTATTAATTTATATTCAATTAATTTCTATATAAATTCGTTTAATTAATTTTATATTTATTAATTTATTAATTTATACTAATTTCTATATCAATTTAATTTATTTTTATATTTATATTTATTTTTATGTTTATTAATTTACATTAATTTCTATGTCAATTCGTTTAATTAATTTTTATATTTATTAATTTATATTCATTAATTTCTATATCAATTCGTTTAATATATTTTTATGTCTAATTCATATATATATTTTTTAATATATTATTCAAATAATGTCCAAGCCTGGGACGAGCCGATTTCAACGATTTCAATCGTCACGGTTAAATAAAAGCGGCGACACATTGAATTATCAGAAAGTGCTAATTAATATCTAAAACCGGTGGCATTGCGGCGCCGCTGTAACTGCTCCATTTCCGTCACGATCGAGAATTGCACTTCGATTATATCATTCCCTCGGCGGTTTCGTGGCGCGTTGGATTTCGCGGTTACGGTATTTACAGAAACAACTTTGTCTTGCAGAAGTGGATTTCCGGATAAATTGGATTATTAGCAATTCACACCGTTCGAAATATTTGACGTGTCCTTCCACCGAGTGCAAAGTATTCGCTCACGTGTATATGAACGTGTCTGCTAAAGATTCGTCTGACTATTAATAATTCGCGAATACAAGCACCGCGAACAGTTTTTACTGCAACACGCTGAAATACGGGTTGTTTCGGGATGTTTTTAAAATTGAAATGTGTTTTCAACCATTGTTCTGACACGGTTCAAAATCTCGAGCGAGAACGTACGTTAATTAATTGTCAATGTTACTCTTCGTAATCAATTTCTCTCTTTTTATTTCTATCTCATCTTTCTCTCTCTCTCTCTCTCTCTCTCTCTCTCTCTGTCGATTTGGCTCTGGCGTAAATAACGAGAGATTAAAGAGCGATCCGGAGACCATTCGCAAAGACAATCTGGCCCGATAGAACGGAATCCTCGATCCAGCTTAGAGCTACGTGACTTTGTTATTCCTCTGGCCTTCCGCATTCCGCGTCGCGTTGCGGTGCAGAAGGAAAAACTTCTCTCCGAGAGAAAGAAATCACCGTGGCCCGAAGGTACCAACGAAAAAGGTACAACTCCTGAGGAAGATCGAAAGAAAGAAGAGAGGGGGAGAAAGAGGGAAGTAGAAGAAGAAGAAAGGTTCCTTCGAGCAAGGGACTCGATAAATAAAGATTAGTTAAACCGAGGGAGTTACGCTGTTAATCGAGCTAGTCGAACGGAAGTTTCTTCTCTTTAAACATCAATTAAATTCTTTGCCCGGGCGTCGAACGATCTTTTCACTCAAGCGAACGATAGCAAGCGTTTCGCGTCGCAGCACTTTACGTA